CTCTCTCTCTCAATCAATCAATAAATAAAAATAAAAAGCCACCTCACTTTTATTATGCAATTTAATCCTTACAGCACTTCTGGAATTGAGATATTATCAATTCAGTTCCTCAGATAGAGAAGCCAATAAGTGGAGTGCATAGAGGAAATTTGACACTCCTGAGATCTGGATCCTGGTCCTTTAGCTCTCGGTCCTGCCCTCTCCATAAAAGATTAGGTATTTGTTATTGCCTTGTTCACACCAAAACCTATGTGCTTGGCTTTTGTACAGATATAACTTTTTGAAGTCTTAACGTCCTCATCTTAATACAATGAGGGCATTGTGCTAATTTACCTTCCGAATCCTTTTCAGTTCTGTGTATATTGAGTCAGTGTAGTGTAGTTGTCAAAGGCATGGTGTTGGAGATGAACTTTGGGGTTCCAATCCTAACTGCCATTCCTTGGCTCTGTGACCTCAGTCAAGTTACTATATCTCTCTGTTTCATTTTACTTATCACTGTGGATTAATAAATAGTACTTTCTTCAGAGCATCATCATTGTGAGGAATAAATGAATTATGCTATGCATAGTACTTAGAATGGGATATGGTATAGAGTAAGCAATAGGTAAGTATTTGCTCTGATTATTATGCCAAAATTGTAACATCAAATTCAGAAACTCCAAGTGAACTATTTAACCCTTTCTAGTTATAAAGTAGATTTGCTACATAATTAAGTGGAAACTTCCCCATCCTGGATTAATGGCTTACTTACATTGCTGTCTTTAATTCTATATGCTATTTATAAACAAGCCCATGTTTTATTTCAAGAATGGAAATGTTCACTAAAATCTATAAAACATAAGACATATTGGGACCTATAAGACAATGGAGTCAACATAGAATATTTGGCAAATTGCTTAAAAGGATAAAAACAGTTTTATTTCTATATAGTGGACTTTTACAATATACTGGAAAATATTTATGCCTAAGTTATCTATAATAATAAAAGGGCAGTATGCTAATTAGTCCAGACATCTTTCTGGACATCATTCCGGACATCCTTCCAGACGAAGCGGGCAGCCAGAGGGAAGCCCGGGTCCCGGGTGCCAGAGGGAAGCCGGTGCTGACAGCTGGGGGAAGGAAGGCCTACTCTTGCACAAATTTTGTGCATTGGGCCTCTAGTTGTTTAATAATATCACAATGTTTACTAATTTAAGTAGAAAATGTATTTGTAGTTTCCATACTTTAATTTTGCTTTGTAAGACATTCAAGCAGCTGACATTTTTCAAAACAACTACTAGCACAGTGCAAACGACAACAAAAACCTGCTTTCATTCCATTTTTTTGTTCTGTATTCACTCTTTCTTTTTTGCTAGGTGGCATGCATGCAGTGGGTTCATGGAGACCATACAATGCTTGAGATGATTGAGAAAAAGCGTTGCTTGTGCAAGGAAATAAAGGCTAGACAGAAAACGGAAAAGGGTCTTTGCAAACAGGATAGCATGCCTATCCTGCCCAGCTGGAAGAAGAATGCAGGTGCAAAGAAGTACAGCCCTCCACCCTATTCTAAACAGCAAACGGTATTCTGGGATACTGCCATATGACTGTGTACAGGATGGCGTGAGCTCCACATGACTTAATGTGAAGAGGGAGGTCAACTCATCATGTGCTAAGTAACGGTTCAGTATCTTTTCTGTTGGAATGGAACATCAGCACTTCCCTGGAAAACTCATGGGAAGCTGCGCTTACTCACGGCAAGTGCAAAATAAAATGTATATTTCCTTGCAATTAAGGCACTCTTATTTATCACGGATTATTTTGAATCCAGGAAGAGATTAAGATGTACATATTTTACTAGTTTATGGGTGACACCTGAAATAATACACAATATACGTATATAAATGACAGAAATATCAAGAGTTTTACTATATGATATAATTTTGGTATTAACTGGTTTGTTATCTTCTCTTTTATATATGTAATCCCTTGATGCCTTTTATTATTAATTTTGCAGTTAAACTACTTTTTCTGCCCATATTTGTCTTCTGTACAAGAGCTCACAGCTATAAATCATGTTCAATCACACAATATATGATCTGGTGCTAGTAAAGTATAAGTTGAATATCATAGTCATTAAGAACACATGTTGTGTCATATGTTTTTAAGAGTTTGACAGGGAATGCATGTGAGTGTGATGCTTAATGCGATGCTTAATTGGGATGTTCACATTACATCGACACCAACATTTTTGCTACACTGGCTTTCTAAGAATTTCTATTGAATATCATCTTGATACTAAACAATGGTTAGTCAGACTCCGCATAAAGTTATTAGGATATCTTCGGACATCCCAGCAGAAAAAATTTCCTTCAGAAATGACATTAAGGATGCCCATCCTTGCATCGTTGATCTGATTGGAGGAGACCAGGGTTCACTGTGACAAGGGAAGCAACAAGGAATCAAAAGTTAAATAGTGAGACGACATTCAAGAAGCTGGGACCTGTGGCATTGCAGCCACTGTAATCACTATTTCTAAGTAAATTCTCATGTGTCTGTTTGTCCCCTCCCCTGTTACCGCCCCCGCCCCCAAGAAGATGAGAAATAAATATTTAACCAGGTGCGTTTACAGATTTTAGTACACTAAATGTCAATCCTCCTCAAAATTTAGGTCTATTAACGAAATGGTATTTCTTGTACATTTTTTCACCCTAGTTATTACCACATTTTTGGGTCACAGTCTTCTGTGTATGAGTATCACACCCATTCCCACTAATTATGACACCGTGACCAAAGAATTATGACCACTTGTTTATTTCATTTTCTTTCAAGGAAGAAACAGGAAATGCAGGGGATTGGGGACGGGGTGGATTCAATTTTATGAGGTGGTAAAATTTAAGTTAAACAAATTATATATATCTTTTAAGAATAGCTTGTTAGTTGAATATAAATATTGCCACAAATGAATAAAAAGGCAACTATCACATATATTTTGTATATTTAAATTACTATTTATGCTTCTTAAAATTGACAGTATGTGGTTCTTTAACAATCAATTGAGTATTATATTTCTGAGAGACAAGGTATGTGTTTGAAGTTATTGTCATAGTGGTTTTCCTTGTAAGGGTTTTGACAGCAATAGTGCAGTGTTGCTCAATAAAACCAAATATAGCAGGAGTTAGGGAACTTTTGTAATCTATATTCCTAAAAAATCTAGTAATACTTTATCAGTAATAGTTCCTTTCAAGCCTTTGAAATCTTATAATTTTTTAAGATTTTATAATTAATGTATATTTTGATGTCCAATTAGAATTCTGAAAAAAAATAAGGAAAAAGGTAAGTGGGAGCATGTGTATTTGTCATGTGTGCGTGAATGAGGACTCAGTGGGAGAACTGTGTACATAAAATGCTTTCTAAAGTTTTAGGTTTTGCTTGTATACCTGAGGCGGTAAAAACAAGACAAAAAAAAAAAGCAGAACCACAAGTTCAGGAAATCTTGGAGGGATCTTAAGGAGCTTAAATAAACCCTGTTGCCATATTTCACCAGTTATGAAACCCAATAACTCATGGGACACAAATCTGAGTGATAAAAATGTGTTAAGATAAAATCATAATTAAAATAAAATGTATTAATAACCCAAGTTGTTATACTGATTCAAGTCATTAGGATCACATACACTCAAGCCAATCAATCACACATAAGACATCAGTTCTTAGCATCTTGCTTATGATCTTGGTTTATTTATTATATTCAGGCTCCATAGGGTCATGATTGGATAATTCCCTGGAACTTATATTTAGGTAACATGTATAAGCACGTTTTCAGATGCCGATCTTCTCCATATTTCTCTGACTTAAGCAGAAGACTTTTTTAATGCTGGCCATTTGTCAAGAAGGAAACAGGGGTACTGACATGATTTGGGCTGGATTTAGCCATTCCCATTTATTCTGCCCAACTTACGCTGTTGCCGAGTTTCATATACTCCTTTTTATTTTTATTTATTTTTTAAATACATTTTATTGATTCCAGAGAGGAAGGGAGAGGGAGAGAGATAGAAACATCAATGATGAGAGAGAATCATTGATCGGCTGCCTCCTGCAC